GTCTTTCGTGGGTGCTGTTATTGTTGGTACCTACAACGTGGTGGTTGTGATAGTATTAACTAAACTCCTGGTGGCAATGCTTCATAAAAGTTTTCAACTAATTGCAGTAAGTGGTTTCCAACTAATCATAAGTAAATTCTAGCAGTAACTTGATGTTGTACAATTTACCTATTACAATGTGCAGATTAATCCTGTGAGCTAATGTCTGATAGACATTTATCGGTGAGTTCTGACTCTGTTCACAGTTCTCATCCTTGATGCGTAAATGTTGTATTTCTTATTGCATTGAAATAAAAATAACTGAAAATAACTGCAGAAATTTTGCATGAAAAATGTGCATGACTTTGGCCTTCTGGGAATTGAAGACTTTCTGGATACAGCAGCTGTTGAAGTCAAAATGCTATTTTTGACAGTGTGGTACTTTTAAACATTAGTTATTTGATATCTACCCCAATGGCTTCCTTCAGCTACTTGACTTACTACCCAAATAAATGAATTTTAGATTCAAGCTGGATAACAGAATGAATTGAATATTTATGTGTATGATGATTATTTAATAATTTTATGTATTAAAATGTTAAAATTACATATAATCAAATTTAACAAACTGTTTTTAAGTTATGAGGAAATTCAACTTACTGATATAGGCTTTCAGTATTTTAATGCTCTTCATAACTTTGCTTCTGATCTCTGTTAATGTTTTTGATATTTCAGAACCACGAAGACAAGGAGTGGAAGTTTGCTCGTGCTAAACTTTGGCTTAGTTACTTTGATGACAAATGCACTCTGCCCCCACCTTTCAATGTCATCCCCTCTCCGAAGACTATTTGCTATCTTTTCAACAGCCTCAGTAAATGGATCTGCTCTCATACCTCAAGTGGCAAAGTGAAACGTCAGAACAGCCTAAAGGTAAGAAACAATCTGGAAAGCTGGAGACTCTGCAACTGGGAAGTGAATCAGTAAGTTGCTGCATGAAGGTGCCTGTCACATGGTGAGCATATGCTAAAGTAAAATAGAAACTCTTGGATAATGTGTTGCATCCGAAATATAAATAAATAAATTTTTAAAAAGAAATTTTACCTAATTGTGTTTTGAGATTGTATTAACCTCCAGTTTGGTGGAATTTCAGTAAGTCTCCTGCTCTAGCAGGAGGTTGGAAACATACTTGGACTTATGAAGACAGTTTTGAACCTTCAAGGAAGTATGTGCTAATCTCAAAAAACGATGAGGTTAGTGTATGCTTTGGGGAAGGTAATTGGTTTTAAGCTTATTACAGAGTTGTTGAAGTAAATAACCAGCGAGGAATACTGGAACCTCTCATCTTGGAGGGGAGGGATTATTTTTCCTGAACAAACACTTTCATTGTACCCTGTAATTACGCATACTAATTTTGCATCTCCTTGCGGACAAAAATAGATTTTTAAAAAACTGTATTCAAAGACCTCATAGAATATACACCTATAAATGAACATTGGAGGTTATAGAAGTCTTAATTGTTCATACAGTTATTTATCAAGCCTGGTAGATTAAAACTTTTTTCCTGAAACAGTAGATTATCATTTTATGTAAATTTGGCTGACAATTTAAATGCATTGTACACTTGCACAAGTCCAGATGTAAATATGCAATTGCTGTTTTTCTTTAATTTGTTTTAGTTTATAATTTTGCAGTCTTGGGGCTCTAAAAAGTCACTTTTGCATAACAAGTGTTTACTATTGTTTAAAGGAATGGAGAAATCTGAAGCAAAAGAGAGATGAGAATTATCAAAAGGTGATGTGTTGCTTAGTCCATCGTTATTTGACTTCCATGAGACAGAAGATGCAAAGTACAGATCAGGCGACTGTGGAAAACCTGAATGAACTGCGGCAAGACCTATCAAAGTTCCGAAATGAGATGAGAGACCTGCTTGGCTTTAGAACTTCTAAATATGCCATGTTTTACCCAAGAAATTAAGAGCAAATTTTTCAAATGAAAGGTGTGCATTTTTTGATACCTGTCATTGGAAGTATTGCCCTCATTCAGTTGCCAGACCAAATAGAAAAGTCTCCTAGTATTGCACAATATTGAACTTGAAAATGCATTTGCATGAGCTGCACCTAGATGCAGAAATTGTGGGGAAAAAATGCAAAAACAGTAATAGTAGTTTTCTTAAAGCTCTTAAACTTATTGTATATGTAAAATTTGTATATAAGATTTTTTTGATGTTCTTCGAACTGTGGCTGTTAGGTGTCAGAGCTTCGTAACTAGCACAATATGATTATTTCTTCTATTTTTGCTGTTTGTTCCTTTTTGATACTTGTTTTTCAAGTTGTGGGAGAAGAAGCTTTTTAAACAAAAATTCAAACTGCATTTATTTTTAATAGAAAAGTTGGGTAGAATAGTATAACAGAAAATTTCCAAAAAAGTTGGAAATTACTTTTGACTGTAGGTTACAGAGCAGTTCCAGACTGTTTTGCTCTGAAAGAGGCAGTTCTAGTGCCAGGTTTTGTATATTATGTTGACTGTATGCTAACATTTATAGCATAGAGAAAACTAAATCATCAAGACATTCATGCAGAAGTTGAAATCATTCATGCATTCATGGAGAAGTTGAAATCATTTCTAGAATATTCATGTTTAACATATAAGACAATCAATTCCTGCTTGGATTATTCAGTGGTGCCTCTGAAGTATGTTCTACTGTGCAGGTTAGGATTGGGAACAGAATTTTAAAACTAACCTGTGATCTTTCAATATGTTCTATATATATATTTTTTTTTAATCTGGATGATGAGTTATATGAAAACCTGTGTTTTAACGAAATGAGGTGGAGTGCATGAGTGCTGCTGTTTGCAATGCTGAACAATTCCTCTCTGAAATACTGTACACTTTTTCCTGTCAAAAATGCATTGTGTTTTGCTATAGCCAGATTTTACATGTCAGATTTTTAAACTTGTTTTTTGTTTTTCTTCCTTTAATACTGTTTTTTTTTTAAATCAGGACTGTTGTGAAAACACATGATTTAACTTTGCTTACAATGGACAGTAAAGGGCTTTGTGGATTTTCTGTGCTAGAGGGTCCTATATAGCTTTATATGCTTATATATAGTTCAAGTTGAGCAATTGTTATTGAAAAATGTGATATTCCTGTATTTTTAATTACAAGATAATTATATTTATGAGAGTTAAAGCACTGACCTGGCATTACTATGAAGGTGATATTCTTCTAAAATGCTCTTATGTCCAGAAGGCGCAGGCAGCCATCATGGTCTTGGACTACAGTAGGTTTTGGGGAGATGGACAGAGGGTGGAGGCTTAAATGAATGTTCACTTTTTTGAAGGAATTCTTACAAAACATTTCTTGTAAAGGTAATATATTTTCTGTACTATGAAATTATGCCTATCTAAGCTAGGGTTTAATATTATGCTTCCAGAAGTCCTATAGTTGTAGATACATTCTGAATAGTCTGTTGTGTTTTCCTGTAAATAAGAGTCTAACCAATTCAAAACAAAGAGGATCATTGGGGTTTTCTTGGTTTTTTTTTTTTTTTTTTTTTTTTTGCATTTGACAGGTTTGAATGCTACACCAACATAAAACCTGTGTGCTGTATATGTTCTGTATTCCCAAGACAGGAAACAAATAAAAGCTCTTTCAAAAAATATAGTTGCGTTAAATATTAGTCATATTAGAAATATACTCTCAGATACGATATTGAAAATAATTTATGTAGGCTTAAGGAAGATAGTTGGTCATATGTTTTTGTGTCTTTGTTTGTTTTACTCCCTTATGGAATAATGAATCCATTGAAATGGCATGAGGTGCAGTTGAAACTGCACACTTTCTCACTGAAAGGGCACGAGATGCAGTGCTGGGCAGCGGTAGCTGGACAGGCTCTGAACAAGGTAACGTGGGCTCTAGGTGCAGCGCTGGCTGCGGGCGCTCAGCCCCTGCCCTGCAGCTCCTCTGCGAAGCTGGGCATGTTCTCTGTGTGACGCAGGGCGCTACTGCGGCATAAAATCTGCTCCTGTTCTTCCATCTTTGGTTAGTGCCTTTCAATACAGAATAATACATGAATAATTCAAAATAATATATGACTGGGTACAATAGGCAGGCTTGCAAAGATCTCTAAATAATGTAATGTTATTTCTAACTGCCTGCAGTCTATTCCTTCCTCAAAAGGCCTATTTTCTTGAATATCCATGCATATGAATGAAATAAATTAGCCAGATATGCTATTCATATGTTGCTTCAAGAGTATTGCTCTTTTTTTCCTTTTTTTAAATAGTAGAAACAAAAAAACCCATATGCATGTGTACTTTATTGCCACTGAATTAATTTGTATGTTTTTCTTAGTTCTGTAGAGAACTTAATAATGATACTTTCTAACTAGGATACAGAGAAAAGCTTGTTACAGTACACTTGAGTCGATTCTTTGAAGAGTAAATCCAGCTCCTGTTCACATCAATGATTCACTGACTTCAATAGAAGTAAAATTAGGCCTTTAATCAGTAAGGAAGTGTAGTGTCAATCACAGCAGGCAAGATCCATAGCATCAAAAGCATATAAATGATCAAAACTGAGTTTCTATGTTTAGCCTGCCCCACTTCATACATAATGAATAACTAGTTGGTATATGATTTAATCTTAAAATATTTTATTAAGCACAGATAATAATGCTGGAATCCATATAATAAAACAACTTCCAAAGAAAAAGCTAAGTTAAAATGAGTTATATAAATATTGCACTTAAAATTCTTATTTTACATACTTATTTTACTCACATTACTCCTTAAAAAAATTGGACAATTATAAATTAATAGCTTCCAAGTAATTGGAATTGGGTGTATTTCATATCCAATGTCTGCAAATCTTCACTCAGGGTCTGTTCTCATGATAGCTGTATCCAATGGAAGCACTTTGTGGCCGGCTATACCGAGGTGGATGGGTGATCATGGTCTTAGTCATCTTTACAGTCAAATGTATTTTCATGACTTATAAGTGAAAATTATTTTTCAACAGAGGTGATAGAAGGCAGCAGCAGAGCGTAGTTTTAACATGTTTTGTTTTTCAAGGCATTGAGGATCTTTTGGTTCTTAGTCTTGAAACTCATGACAAAGCTGTTGGGCAGGACTTTGCCTCTACCATCTTCTTCTACCTGGCCCATGATGATATAGTTTAAACCTACAAAGGAGAGTATGACATTACAAAACACAAGTCCTTAGTGGATTTGGTAAGTACTATTTCTATGGTCTTTATTAATTCGTACTCTGTTTCCTTTTTACATCCGCTCCTTCCTACCTAACACATTTACATCCTTTATCTACTTTTACCATTCTATTTAAAATAAGGTACATTTATGTACTTCATGTGAGCAGATATTAAGTATCTGTACAGCTATATATGTATTATATAGTTAAATGAGTAGTAGATATTAGTAAATATTGACTGTCAAATGAGCCTGAAAAACATTGCAAGTACGGAATAAGCACCAGATGAATTGATTAATGCCTAGAGAGGAACATGTCATGTTTTCTCATGTTCTCAGATGATAGAATAATGCACTTGATATGTTCATTCAATTTCCTTTCCCCAAAGAAAAGAGCAACTAGCAAGGTAAGGTGCAAAGAGGCACCAGGTTTATGTGGGGGACTGGGGGCAGTGAGCAAGGATGGCAGTGACACAAGTGGACAAGCTGCTTCAGACACTGAGAGGCCATCAGGAAAGCGGCTGATGGGAGGTGGACCTTAACCTGTGGTTAGCTATTCAAGCAATTGAAAAGCAAAATTTTAGGGTTTAAAAGGCATCAGGCCTTTTAAATTAGGGGATTGCAAGGCATCAGGCACAAAGAGGTGGTTTTGTAGGGGAGTGAGGGGGAAAAAAGGCAGAAAGTTTAGATGGTAAGTAATGGTGATTAAATAAATCAAGGAGATTTAGGAAGAGAAAGAGCTTTGGAGCCAGCAGCCTGCCTAGAAGGTGATAGTGTCTTCCAGCAAGGATGTTATGTCTGCCAGAGAGATGTCTCGTTTCCAGAGAGCTAATGGTAAAACAAAAACGTTTCTGACAAAGACTTTTCACTTCGATAGTGCCCCCTTTGAATTTGTATGCTTAAATACCAGTGGTGTCCTGCATGTTACATATCTTCATATGCTTGTTAAATTATCTTGTCTGCTCTCTGCTGTGGATCTGTTTTTGTTCTTGTTCTTCCTATTGTTTAGTTGGGAGACACAGAACTGGGAAGTGCCTTTTTTTTTTTACCTAGCTAAATCTATGACACCTAATCTCTTTTTTCTTACTTGGAAATTATCTTGGTTGATCTATTCTGTATAATACTGAAATAGCTGTACAAGTATTAGCTGTTAGCACATATAAAGTGAGTAGTATTTCTAAGTAGAGATGTAAATGTATGTATATGGAATAGAAGCAGCAGGAAAATGTATTGATTTTTGTCATTTGTGGTGGCACAGTTTTCTTTTAGGCTTAGCATGCTCGTGCTTTTCCTTTCTAAATAACTATGCATAAAAACTAGCTCCGAAGTACACACATGTACAAACAAAATCTGTGCCTCATTTGAGAACCTGACTTTGTATCATGTGAATTTTACAAAATGTCTTTCAAACTCAGTAGATTTAAGTGAGTCTAATCCTATAGAGATAAACCTTAGAAAAGCAATATGAATCTGGGTAACTTTTTTTTTTATCTTAAAGTAAATGATAACATTAGTAGTTGATTATAGAATCAATTACAGCAATATTACTGATTTTTTTGTTTTAATTTTTTAATGGATATATTTCTAAAAGTAGTTTTCAAAACTGTTCTCTTTTACAAAGAGGCAGGGCTGATATTTTTGTGTACTTACCTCTTCTGATCAGAGGACACTGCTTACATACAACTGTAATCTTGGCACTCATACTCTTGCCTGCTTGCTGAATTGCTAAATTTCCTTCCTTATACACGTTAATGATCGATATCGTTGCATGTAGACTGCCAGCCCTGGTCATTGTGGTAATTACAGTTCCAGTTATGACTAGAAGAAAAGACATTTAATACATTTTAAAAACATATATGCTTATGAATATGCAAATATATGCATATACTTTGTTTAGTCATTGGTCTTTTAGATTGAGAAAGTATGTTTGCCTTAGACGTGCATGCAATATCTATGTTCTCCAAGAATGTACTGAGTGATATACAGATACTCATGTCAGATCTGCATGTAAGATATAAAAATACTGGCTATATGTTAACTTAAAACTACATTTGTTAAAATTACTATGAGTCTAAACATGCAGTCTCGAGAGACTAATTAAAAAGAAATAAACTTCGCTGCTCTTACCGAAGTTGCTTGAGCAGTAATTGCTTTCAAGTGTCCCGCTCCTCCTACACTTTTGCTGGCACAGAGCAACCGTAGGTTTCAAAGCTTTGTAGGTTTGAAGAGCAAAAATCAAAACAAAGTTGAAATGACATCTGTTGAAATATCTAGCTAAGCAGTATGTTTAAAAAAAAAAAAAACCCACATTACACACCTGATATGTAGCTTAACTAGATCTAGTATTGCAAGGGATAAACAACAAAGACTGACAAATTCTGCCTTCCCTTCTGTCCTCCCCATTCCTGTTATCACCTTCTTTATTTTTTTTAATTTATTTTCACAGTTCTTAGCTCCATCTTTGTTCTAGTGGTTTTATATATTGGAATTTTGCAGAAAAGATGTTTGCTAGTCAACTAACTGCCAGAAAATGAGCAGAGGTAGCAAAATTCTTTTGGCTACAGTCAAATAGCAGCTTTCTTTGCCTTCCCTACCAGTTACTGCTATAGTGAACTCCAGCCTGGAGAGTTTTCTTTTTTGTTTGTTTGTTTGTTTGTTTGTTTTTCTTTTAATCATGTTAAGTAGCTTCTACCTTTAGTACATTAACTTTCATTTATTTCCTCAACATTTGGAATACTAACAAACTGCAACCTATATATTTTTTAAATTCACTTTATGTTATATTCTTCTGTATCCTCCTTTCACTGCCCTGGACTAATTTATTTTTATGACATATGAAATAAAGGCAGTCAGACTTACTTGATGTAGCTGGAGCTGTTGTTGTAGGTGGAACTGTGGTTGTGGGTAACTTCTTTGGTCTGAATTTGTAATGGCCAATAAAACCATCAGCTGTTAAACTTAAATCTGACAAAAACTGAATGAGCAGTTCATTTTTCTCAGATAGAATAGGCCTGGAACAGAAAAACAAATCATTTTTATTGATTTTTGACATTCAAAAGGAAAGATGTTAATATGAAAACATAGAGATAGCTTCGTTTTTAGTCTAAATGCAGTATCTGTCCCTAGACTAATACTGCAATGGGTGTTTGTAGGTGTACAGACACTAGCAGTGCCATTGATAATGCTGTATGTGAATATTCTCCTGAGAAACTTGATCAGGATGACAGTGAATGTAACAGCATTTGTGTGAGGACAGGCAGAGATGGCACCTTTGGGGGCTGCATGATCTACTTCTATCAGTGGTACCACTTCAGTGGGGAAACGCATCCAAACCACGTACAGCTGAGCCCTGTTCCTGTGCTGCCACATCAGACACTGGCGTTCAGACACTGCTCCTGGGGCTGTGAAGCTCTTTCTGTTGAATCCTATAAACACTGATTCCTGCAAGGTTATGTCTCTATAAATATCTTTTTAATATTTCTTTGTGACTTCTGCAGAACTGTGGAATGGAAAGAGCGACTTTACACAATGGGAAGATATCTTAGATGATATCCCTAATATGTAGCAGAGGTGGGTAAAAGGTCTTTTCAACTTTTGTTACATGAAAATATACTACATATTTGGAAGGCCTGGAGAAAATGAATTCAGTGTTTGATTCTGCAATTCTTTGGCAAGAATAGTTACCAAAAAAAAAAAAAAACCTGTTTGAGGTTGTTGCTATTTTTGAGGACGTAACTTTTTGTCCACTGGAGACAACTGGATATTTGTTACCAAGCCTTTAAAGAGCTAATGGTTATTCTTTTAGAATTTGAAATGCCATAAAAAAACTGTTCAGTGTATTAGTCCTCAGTTCATAAACTATGTAGTACCTGGTATGTCTCTAAGTATGCTCTGGATACTGATGAAGTGCAAAGAGAATTCATACACGATGGTTTTATTGTTAGAAAAAATCTGTGGTATGCAAGTCTAGCAAACCTACACTACCTTCTTTTGAGTGTTTCACAGACCTCATCTCAACATTCACCAAGAATTATCAACACATCTTTTCCAAATAAAAAAGCAGTTTTGGGGAAGAGGAAGAAAGAGAAATGGAGGGAAAAGAATCATAGTGAGTAGAGGAGAAAAAAGTGTAGTAGAAAAATGCATTTCTCTTAAAATGACCCCCCTTCCCTCCTTGGAAATCCTAACAGAATTCATGAGCCTTGAGTTCTTCAAGCATTTAATTGAGCCTTTAAAATAAAACCTGTGATTATCTTCCATTTTCTTTGACTGGGTATTTCAGGAACCAATTTACTGTCATGGTTATGAGTCCAACATAACCAAAACTAAATACATGATTATATGGAATTTTGTAGATTTACAGATGTTTCTCTATTTGCACAGATTGTTATTTATGGCTGCTTCTGGCTGCTTCTTGGGGATAACTGGTCTTTTTTTTTTTTTTCCC